CTTCCTTGCACGCCATCCTCTCTCTCGAGCAGCTGGCTGCGTTTATCGTGCAACGATCGAGCCACGGTTCCGTGAAATTGTGTGCCACGAGTTTGGGGGGATCGGCCGATATTAACTCGATCGCGCCATCTGGATCTGAGGAATGGCAATGACAGGTTTCGTTGAGTTTGAAATCATTACAAGTTTTTGACAAGATTTCTTTAGTTTAAAGGGGAGGTAGTATTTACGGAATTTTCTGGCGTATTATTTGCGATGAAAGTTTAATGGTTTTAGAGGATGAAATTTGGAGATGAAGGGTAAAAGATAATTCGCGTCGAAGATTTACTCAAAAGAATTTCCTTAATAATATATATAATACACAAAGATAAAAGCAATCTGAGATTATTATAATTGGAAGATGCTGAATATTAAAGGTAGAAATGAATTAAAATAATAATCTTTTTATATCCGTCTACAAAAGAACGAACTAAAATTGTTATCTTTACACCACGAAATTTTGTATTAATTTCTCATGTCGTAAATAATTTGCAACTTGATTACTCTACGTGGCTGAATCCGTATATCTCAACAATTCGAAGATGTTCGACAATTATAGCTCGAATTACAAGAAACATTAGAATACGTAGGAAAATTTCACTCTTCAACTTGAAATACACGCGTGTTTCAATTTCTTCCAGCTAATATTTGTAAATTATACGCGCGTGGTGTAACGTTGGCCGCGACGTTGCAGCTGCTCGAATCAAATATTTAAGTCGACCGGAGTGCTGAATGTCTGAACAGGCGCATTTTCGTTTCGCGAAAAAGAGAGGGGGGAGGGAAAAAAGCCGGTCGCAAAAGTTGCTCGCGTCGTCGGGAACATGCATAATGCGGATTTAACCGCGTGCAAGCTTTTTAGAAAAGCGTGAAGATATCGATCCACGACCTCTCGAATCAACGTCGAGGAAAATTGTAATTTCGTTCGTCGATTCGTGTTAAATTATCCTATCCGTTTGTCGAGTTGCTTTTCCGCCGGAACGAGCAACCCTCCAAGCACATGGACGTTTTAACGAGACCAAGCCTCCCTCCCTCGTTTCGATCCTCGTTTCGAGATGTTTGGCGTCCATTAAAGACGCGAAAACAGTCGGTTCACGGAAATGTTTGCATTGGAGAAATTTCGTCGCGACGTAGTTCTTTCGTGTTTACGGGATTTGCGGAAGCTTGATGCTAAGAAGGCGAACGGAATAAATATTGTGGGAGTTATACGATAGTTTCTCCTTTCTTTTCGACTTATCGGAACGGGGATTTGAGATTTTTTTTTTTTTTGGATTTAAAGAGTTATTGATAAAGTTTTAGAAGTTATCAGTGTCGATAAAGTCGCTTATAAAAGAAATAAAGTTGAAAGTTTTAGTAATGGAACATGGTAATTGTGAAAATTGTGAAAATGTTTAAAAAAAGATTGTAATCTTGTGAGTTATCGATTTATATGTTGATTGATAAATATGTATTTTAGGAAAGAATGCGATTATAAAAAAATTTGATTGTTTTATGTTCTTTTGAATTAAAAATATATATATTTCACAGACAGGCAGGAACCAGTTTTAATCTTTTCAAACTCTGTTTCTAATTTTCTGTATAAAAGTTTCTTACTTCAACGTTGTTTGTTTTTAATCCATTAAGCATAGGAATTAAACTTCTTTTCCTTTACGTATTTCCTTTTCCATTTTAACTTTCTTTCATAGAAGAAGTTAGAATCTGGTTAATGAATTTCATTGCGAGAAATCTTAACGCTGTCGGTATTATTGACAACACAAATTGCTACAATTGCTTTATATAGTTTCTTGTTCGAGTTCGTGAAGCTATTAAATCATCGTAGCTTTCAATTCTAATTAAAAAGATCTATTATATCGTATAAATAAAACGTTTACATCACACATTGTCTAATAACGCATACTGTACTCTAAACTATTTTCTAATTAAAATAGAAAGCCAAAATTGCGTTTATCAAGCAAATGAAGTTGCACCACTCGAAACAATGGCTACTCATTCGAGGTGCTCTCACGCATGTTCAAATAGCGTTTAACGTCGGATTAAATCGGTATTTAATTATACGAATGATGGTTTAAATATTTAATATGGCGATAAATTAACCAAAATACAACATTTACACGTGCTCATTTTCGCAAAATAAAAATTATAGTTCTCGTAAAATTCAATAACTAATTTTTAAATAAATTTACAAAACTACTTTTAATAAATACAATTATAGGATAAAGAATTTTAAAAATTTATTATATATCAAACAAACAATCTCGATATTTCAATCTCAATTTCCCGAAGTGAAATAATTTAATTAATTCTCGTCAATATTTATATATTTCACTCCTTCAATCATTGGATCGAAAGGAACGCACACACGTATCCTATATTCAAACACACCTATATACATACCACCTCCATTCTCCCTTAAAAACTCTCACCGGGACATTATCCTCAGTTGTCTCGGCCGTCAGTCGTTTCCACCTCTTTTTCGACACGAGGCTACATCCCGCAAAGTCGCGCGCACACCTCTCGTCCTCCTCTTCGAAACCCCTTCACCTCCCTCGAGGTTAATTCCGTCAGTGTTCGTGCACGAATCGACATTTACACCGTTTCGCTCTTAACAGCGTAGTATTGGCCTCGCCGAAAAATAGAATTCGTTTGTATAAATGGCGGCCACCTTAACGCGATGCCCCGTTCGAAATAAAATCTAGTATTAAGCTTTCGAGCTCGCATGAGAGAACGTGGAATCCGAGAATAAAGGAACGGCAATATCGGTCGAACAAGTTGCCCTCCGCAGAAATTGAAAATCCGCATTCTATGCTCGCTCCGTGGATAAACGTCCCTTATTCGCAGCCATCGTTGATATACCTCGCACGTTGTCCGATCGTCGACGTCGGTGTTTACCGAGAAACGAAAGTCTTCGTGAATTCGGAGATGTTGGCAGCCTTGGAAAAATTCGCCTCGTAACTTCGTATCTGGCTTCCCCTCTATCTCTCTCTCTCTCCTTCTTATTCATTCCGATTCGACGCGTTCTCTGTCCCCCTTTCGGTTGCACTATGTCATTCGCTTTGATCTCGGTGTAGTCGCGAATATGCACACGCGAATTCACGCGCGTGCCTACACGCAACCGCATGTTCGAAGGGAAGATTGCAGAATTCGCGGAATTAGACGGCGCCGAGATATACGTCGAGGACGAGGCTTTGCGAGTTGCATGCACGATCGTGGTGTAAAGAGGTCCTTGGAGGTGGGTGCGAAATATGCGGAGTTTCGGAAGTTCTTGAATGGTTTATAGTTATGTGATGTATTTGGAAACGTGAAGGATTGGTATCGTTCAAATTGAAAAATATTCGTTAAGAAATGTAACTAATTAAATATAAATGTTGATTACACTCTATTATTCTAAAAAAATTATGAACGTAACTTTTAACGTGTCATGCAAGATTTTTGTCGTTAATACTAAATGATAAAGATCGTAACAATTTTGTGATCTTAACTTCAGAAGAATTAAACCATTGACAAATGTACAGTCCCTTACAATCTCTGTCAATCTTGATTAACCTTATATTTTATATTTCTTCGCACGAATAAGATTGACTATTCTCCAAAAATACTTAAAAATATAATAGATCGCACGTAATAAAACGTGGAGAATATAAACGATCTAAACCTCATGTATACGGAAAATATCTATTTCAAATCGCGTTTTCAAATCTATTTGCTTCCAAACTCACTCGCAGAACTTTATTGCAAGCGGGCACGTTTGCGAATTCATGGGAACAACCGACGTGAGCGAATGAATGCATAGAACTGCCTGTTTTATCGCCGCATTATACGATCCTCGAAAAAATCGCATTACTTACGAGATGACCTAATAATATTATCCTCGAGCTCTGGTTGAACAACGCGGAATCGCGATGGAATACGAGTCACGAGCACGCAATATTCTCAGCCGTTTGCGGTAACTATTATATCCGGTCTTCGAATGCGTAGTCGATGTGCGTGCATTCGAGTAAATCGAGTAGACGGTGTTATGGATTAATGAGGAGCGATTCTATCCGAATAATTGCGGGTATTTATTCGTTCGAAAACAGTTCATTGATTCATTGGATTTGCCAAGTGTATTGTGAAAAAAACGAGAGATGATTATTAATGCCTTTCTTCTGATTTTTTAGAATCGAAAATTTGAATAAAAATGTTGATATTGAAAATTCCATTGAAAGATACTATACAATTTTAATAATTCTTTTATAAAATTTTTCAAAATTAATTTATTCTAGAATTTTAATAATTTCTAATGGATTATAATGGATTGCGTCGCTGTTTACGTATTAATTATTTTCAGCGTTTCTTAAATTCTTAATCTTTCGTTTTATAATTCTTTTAAAAAGTTCTTAAGCTCTTTGGTAACTATTTAACGTTGAACGTAGTTGTTCGGATAATGTTAAATATAATTTGTATTTAATAATTCCGCTTGAAGGTCTGAAGAATTGAAATTAAAGTTGAATAAGAGTTGAAACTAAACTTCGTTAAATACAAATCGAATTGTAATCCATGAATGATTTTACGATTGCAAGAAAAAAAAAATCAGAGTAATATTTTATATCGTTCAATTGATATCGTATTATTATCGTCGCTAGAATAAGAGTAACTTTTAAAATCGAGAAAATAACGAGATATATTTCCCCCCTCCCTTTATTTTTGTTAATTATCTGTGCTAAAATTTCCTTGAGATTTTCATTTTTCACCAACTGGAATTCTCGCTTATTAAATCGATTAACAAAACCTTCATCTTTTCCTCTTTTTGAAAACAAAGCTTCTTGAAGTCTTTATTATTCAACATTGTTTTATGAAAAATAATTTCCGCGTTCTTAATAGCATTCTACGACCAAAACTTATTATTATCGTGATTAAAATCTTAATAACAATAAAAAATACATGATAAAAATGATAATATTTATTATTTTTCTTTTTTTCTGTTCCAGGTTGGTACAATATTCGTCGCACAAATTTAGAACACAATTTTCCACGTTTCTCACAATTAGGTAAGCAGAAGTTTCTTCAAACATATACTTCTTTAATATTTCTTTCCTCTTCTTCTTTTTCCATCGCAATTATCAGAATTAATTTCGTTCAATTTCTCATAGACATTAAATCACGATTTCAAAATATATCTCCAACCTGTGTATCTCGCAATTTGTCGGAATATTCGTTTAAAACGAGCCGATTAATTGCAGTAGTTAAAAAGGGGACGTCATTCGATCCACGGCATCATTTTCAACCCTTATGCTCGCACAACTAGTTCTGTAAATTAGCTCGACAAAGGTAACACGACGATACACGCTCACTTTCTCATCATTTCCCTTTTA